AGGAATCTTACAGTTCGGTAGCACCTTAAACATGCTAAGTGCTGCCCAAATATTAAAAAAACCCAACACACACTCTAAAAAGATAAGACAGAAAACCAACATATTTAGAAAGAGGTGTACACTTCCTTGTTATTTTTCTCCCTCTTTCTGCCTCTGCAACCCTCACCCTCTTCCCACCTGCCACCTTTATGTCTAGATGCCAAAGTCAACCTAAACTGCCATTACTGCACTGGTGCACCCTCCTGTCAAACTTAGGGCATATGTGTTACAGCCCTCGCTGAGTCTCCTCTTACCAGTCTTGCGATTCCACATGCTCTCCAGCCACCTAGTTCTGCACAGTGTTTAGCACTCTATACTGTCTCTAGTTCTGGCCTCTCAGGCAGGCTCCAGGTTCAGATTCCCCATCTGGCCCCCTTCCTTGGGATGTAGGACCTTGCAAGTCCCACTGCCCTCATCCAGGACACCAGTGCTGACCTCTCCAGCCCCCCTCATAATTAAGGACTCTAGAGGTCCACCCTCATGGGCATTCGAGATTCTGTTTAAGGAAAGAACACAAGGCTCACAAAGAAATTTCTTAAACACGTGTGCAACCACACCTTACTTTACTCATAAAAAGAACACTAAAATCACAAATCTATGGAGAAAACAAACACCTGAATGCAATTCCCTTCTCCAGTGTCCTCTCTAGTCTTGAGTCGTTTTGGGGGGGGGGGGGGTTAAGGTGCCTCCTGCCCCCACACCTTCTTGCACGGACAGCCATGAGGCGTTCCAAGTGGTTCCTTCGTACGAAGATACAGTCAGCTTTGTCCTCTTGGATCCTGTGAACTGCTAGATGGTTGCTTAAGAGGCGTAGGAGGCAAGGCTTCAAGTAGCAAGCTGAGTGTCCTGCAGTTCAAATAGGCAATTAATAGCCCCTTCCACCTTCCCATTAAGGTGGTCGTGAAGGAACATATCAGTCTTCGGAGGGAGATCTGAGAGCTTAAAATGGGAAGCCCCCAGCCCATTTATGGATTTGACAGCTAGAAACTATGGATGCTGGTGTCCAGCTGCAGAGTCTGAAGATTTTTGGGCAAGGTGGGTATATAAAAAGGATAGGCACAGCCTATTTCCACCACCTGCCCAATAAACAGATACACCTCTACCCCAATATAACGCGACCCGATATAACACGAATTCAGATATAATGCGGTAAAGCAGTGCTCCGAGGGGGCGGGGCTGCGCACTCTGGTGGATCAAAGCAAGTTCAATATAACGCGGTTTCACCTATAATGCGGTAAGATTTTTTGGCTCCCAAGGACAGTGTTATATTGAGGTAGAGGTGTAGTTGATTTTGCCTATGAGGAACCTAGTGATCTCTCCATTTCATCCTCTGAAGACTCCTGTTCTACCTGAGAGAAAAGAGATTTTGTTATGTGGGAGAACAAGTAACATTGTTCTGGGGTGATCCTCCTCGCATTTTGTAAAGAATAGAAAATAGGTAGCAGAGGGGACCCCAAGACAGACTCATCTGGACCAACCCACTAACTCGCCTTCTCCAGGGCACTCAGTGTCTAAGAGGAGGAAAATTAAAGTGAGATTTTTCCTGCTCCTGGGTCTGAGAAGAGCAGTGAAAGATGGGTCCAGGAAGCCCACCTGCTGAGGAGGGGGAGAGTTTTTGAGAAGTTATTTTGAAGGACAAATCAAAGATTCCTTTATGGAGGAAAACAGGAAGGCAACACAAGCCCCCTTGATCCAGGCTGCCACTCCTAGACGAGGAGACAAGGAGAGGTGGGAGGCCTACTTCCAACATATAATCTTGCGAATGCCTGCCTGACACCTGGGTTCTCTTTATAAGTCACCTTGTTGGGTATCCACTGAACCTTTGGTGACCTACTTTAGTAGAGCGTGTTCATTTAGATTTTAGCCACTCGTATTCATGCCTGGGCCTGGCATAGACCTACCACAGCAAGATCACAGCATGAGCAGAAAGGAAGAGGGAGGATGGGCAGAACAGACCTGCTGTTGAAGATTTCAGGGGAGCAGCACCTGAGGGAGAGCTTTTTCCATGAGGAAATTTCCTTTGCCCTCATCTGCACTGTGTCACTCCAAATCTCTGCTGAGACCTGGAAGAAAGATGGTGCTTCAGCAGAGAAGTACCAGGATCAGCTGCTCATAATGAGGCAGGAGAACATCTATGGAAGCTGCCTGTATGCCAAGAGAAGACGGAACTGACCACAAACAGTTATATCCAAGACTGGTTACCACCAGTCTGACTGACAAAGAATAATTAGTCTCCATCTACATTGGTGGAAGACGCACCCCAAAAGTAGCATCAGTTCATTAGGTAGGAGAGCAGCATGGGCAACAGAGAGAAGAAAGCAGAAGGTTTCATTTGGCAAAAGGACTCTGAACGGAGATTATATTATTTGTGGGCACACCGTTCACGTGTAAAATGTAGCACATCTCGGCCTTGATGCTTTATTGCTTCCCTGCTAACAAAAAAACTGAAAGCGTGCCCAATTCCCCTGTGTCTGATTTGCAGTAGTGCCTTGCTATTTAATCAGCAGAAGGAAAAGGGACAAAAGAAAGAGAATCTCACCTATAAGTCACCTCCTCAGGGAAACAAAGAACATTGGAGTGTCAGGAAATAAGGGCTTCTAGTCAGGAGCTGAACAGTGAGTCTAGCTTACATTTCTATATTTACTATCACTTCTCTTCAGATCTCTATTTATATCAATTCTTTTATCTGAGCTTCCCATTTCTCTTTTCACTAGACTGAGTTGGTTTTCTAGTAAACCATTAGTTTCCATTTAATCAATTATAATCATTTGCCTGATGTTTTTAATAAAAATGCTGAGAACAGTTGATAAATTTCATGATTTTTTCAATTTTTTCATTACATTTTTCAAGTTTTTCAAGAAAAAGTAGCTACACTTCAATAAAAAATATTTTTTAAATATTTGGACCAGCTATAAAAATTGTAAAGTATACGTTGGCCTCCCACTCAAAGTTAGCTACTTGCACCCAGACTGCTGTGAGAGGATCCAAATACTTAATTAAGCCTCCAGAGTCTGAACAGGGTCCAGGCACTACTAAGGCATGGGGTCTCTACACACACGCATTCAGGATGCAAATTTTCTAGCTATCACCCCCACTACTCCTGAGAGCTGAGTTCTTACAGTCCAATTACCTAGTCCCTGGGACCAGAATGCTAGCAATGAGAGCACTCTAGATTTAAATTTACCTCTTATGGGGCATGCGATAGGTATAGCAAGAAATACACACAGCGACTTTGCACAGGATTCTAAAACATCCAGCATAGCTTTCCACTGTCTTGGCCCCCTGTTTCTCCAGACACTAAGCACAAAGGCTACATTTTGTTATCCACTACTGTCTGGTGTAATTCGATTCTCCATGAGAAATACGGATTTCTGGAGAATTTTTTTCCCCTTTTAGTTTTGTCTTCTAGTTGTTTTTAATTAAAAATTCTCTTTGATATATTCTACCACACTGGACATCAAAATTCAGTTTGTTTTCATTCTTATTATCTTACACTTTCCATTTTTAATCCTTTCATTAGCTCTTTTAGAATGCATAACTAGAACATCAGGCCACTACAGGTTTATGCCTTGAAATTTCCTAATTGTATTACTTCTGTTATCTGATTTTTAAAAAGTAATGCTTTTTGTTTGTTTGTTTGTTTGTTTATTTATTTTTTAAGTCTTAATACTTCCACGGACTTTTATCCCAATGGGCAATAACTGATGTAGTTCCACTGTCGGACTTTTTTTCCCTTTTTTTTTAATTTCTTTTCATAGTTTCATTATATATAAAAACTGGTTATATACAAGTTCCAAGGAAGCCAACAAAAGACTAAAAGATGCCTTTTGAAAAACACAGGTATGAAGCCCATGCTTTTCAAAGCCAAATCATTCGTGATGCCTTGATAGAGGTTAAATAGTTACAATGTCTAAACAAATTTCATGAATCATTTTAATACTGATTTTGGTACAGAAGAGAGCACTAGGAATGAAAAATCAATGTTGTTGCCATGGCATTACATTTGCAAGAAAAAAAATCCAAAATCCAACACTTTGCAGAATGATATATGTGACCCAAAAGCCACAATAAAAAAATACATGCCGAGAAAAAAAATCACTGCAAGGAGTAGAAAGGACATCTGACAGGTAGGTAGATATGGATCAGGGTACTGAAGAAAATTCAAATACTGAAATATTTTGCTTTTTAGAGAGGGATTTTTTGAAAGAATTAGAATGACATTTAAGGGGTAAGACAGCAGCTCTGTATTTTTTTTTTTTTTTTTTTTTTTTTTTAAGGTTTAGTGGCAGGAAGTCTGGATGAGAAGGCAGAGGGATTAAAACAGCAGCTCAATCTGTGCTCTTTTCTTTCATGGCATGAAAACCACATTTTCTCTTCCACTTGTCACACACTGGTGCAAGGTTATCATATTATCGCAGCATGGGGACAAAACAAAATTAGATACACAATCTGTTCACAAGACTTGAGCGAGTGGACAATAAGTTTCTGCTCTCCAACACCAAATCATTTGTTGTGACCTCATTTGCAGCGCAAGTTTACTACTAAAAAATCCTCAAACCATTCATTGTGCCACAGAAACCAATAGCTGTGGGTTGAGCTGATGTATATTTGTGGAATGCTCCAATGACATTAAGGTTATCACAACTCAATCCCTCAAATCATGCCTAGCAAGAACTCGGATATTAATATTAATAAACAGCACTTCTTCAGCATTTTTAATCTTCAAAGAGCTTTGCAAACAATGAGTTCATTGTACAGAGAACGCAATTAGCAGGAGGACTGACTTACACTACTCTCAAATAGCCTCTTCAGCCATTGCTTGGAGCAGGATTGACAGGGAGGAAAGGGCAAGGCAATGGAAGGGAGAAGAGCAAGAGCCTAGTGGATTCAACTCTTAAGCAAAAGTTCTATTTACGTGCCTGAAAAAAAACATTAAGTTATCTGTTAAACTAGGAACTTACTTCTTGGCAATATTGCAGAATCCCTTCTTTTGTTCCAATGCAGGTCTTGGTCCCTGAGGGGTCAGATTCCCATTTTCCATTCTGAACATTCATATGCATATTGAGTTTGCCACAAAACATGGCAATTTGGGGCTCTGCCAACAAACCAGTGTTTCCATCAGTAGGCACCTGGAAATAGGAGGAGAACATTGTTATTAATTATTGAAACTTCAATCCAAGGTGGTAACAGTTCAAATGAACTGAAATCAATAACTTCTGCTTATCCACGCAAGGCAGCAATTATGTGAATGGTTATATGTACAGAGATTTGGGAGATTAAAACAAAAATCTCTTGGGTAATTCAACACACCACAAACTCAAGACAGAGAGGTTTTAAATTGAAAAAAAACTTTGGGGGCAGGGATTGACATCCACTAGAAGTTTGTCTAGACTAAGGTAAAAGATATATGTAGTTAACACACTCTGGGTAACACGGGGGGCCCCCCATGTTAATTTCAGCTGATCAAAAATGGGAAAAGTTTTCATCAAACTTTGGCCCCTTTTTCATTTAAAAAAAATGAATTTTCAACCAGCTGTCTTTAAATTAACACGTTTTAACACTTTTGTAGACAGGATAAGGAATATTTTAATATGTGTTAGCTGATACGATAGAGATGAACCCCAGCTTCCACCGACGTTTCCAAAATACAGTTTACCCGGACGACACGAAACACTAGCTAAACTATGTTAGCAAACACATTTTTAAAATACATTTGTTATCCTATTGTGGGCAAGCCCAATATGGCTTTACAGTGCCTGGTGCCATGGGGCCCCTGCCCACTTAAAGCATCTAGGTGTTACTAGAGTACAAACGATGAACAACAATTAATACCACCACCACACACTGCCTGTGTAATTGCTGAAGGGAGTCATATGTATAATTGTGTAGACTCTATTTGATACATATAGTCAACAACCACAACAAAAAACCTTAAAGTTGTTATATCAGAACTATTCACTGGAGCACAGTTAAAGATGGTCTGTGGAGCTTTATTTAGAAATTCCCTCATTTTTAAATTATTTTTCCTGTAATTGTGTCATTTTATATTAATAGGACATTTACATAAAACTTTAAATATCTGAAAGTTTCTGTTTGGCCATTTATATATATGCATCTTACATTCAGATATCACATGAACCCCCAAGAATTTCTAAACGCCTTATAAACCAGTGCTTTCAGAGACTGCCATATGTTCTATAAACATCCTTCTGTCTAGAACTTGTCTCTTTAAGTAACTCAATACTGAACCTCTTCACCGCTGAAATCACCCTCAAGATGCTGATTGTGCAATGAAACCATGTGACAGGAGATAAATCAGTTGTTTGAAATGAAAGAATCAGCAGATACATTAACCACAATGTTACTAAATGAAAGCAAGCTCTGGCAAGAATACAATGGAAACAGATGTCGAACATCAGCATCAGAGGGTATTACCTTCCAGCAGGGAGTACGGATGGATCTAAGCATCTGTGTTGAGCAGCACTATAAAATATTAGGAGGTTGAAAAATTAACCAGACACCAAGTGGTGAGCCCAAAATGGAAGACAGATCTCCCATGAAAGTTCTGGGCCAGGACTGTAGCAAAAAGCCTAACAGCCTTCCTTCTGACCCTCACAACTGTCTTTTCCATCACATCACATCAGACATTTGCACTATCAAGCATGTATGATTCCTCCCCTCCCCCAAACTGGCCCTCACATTTAGGGGTTGACTCATGTACTCATGATATTGCAGTTGCTATGATTCAGGCAAACAAGTTTTTCATATACAAATACAAATGGAGGTTTTCATTGCCCTCAAGCTCACTTGCATTCACATACAAAGGCATGACTTGCATCACATGCTCATTTCTATTAGGTGAAGCAGTACAGGAAAGTAAAAAAAACTGGCTGTTATGAAAACAGACCTATGCAATCCTTTCCTCCCTGCCTCTAAGGTGCTACAGTTAGTAGCTATTCCAATCCAACTTGTGCTTTAGGATGAAGGAAGAGATTTCCAAATAATCTCCCCACCACGCATCCCCTTACCATTTTTGAGTCTGCCTTCAGATCACATTGGTGTTTGTTGTTTCACATAGTTTATCCAAGAAGGGTGAATTGACAAGGTTCTTATAACTGAGGCCCAAAAGTTTAACAAACAACGATACCTAGCTCTCATAGTGCTTTTCTTCTAAAACACTAGAGCTTCAAGTGTTTTACAACGGAATTCAATATCATTAATCCCATTTTACAGATGGGAAACTGAGTCACAGAGAGATCACCCAGTAGGCGAGTGGCAGAGAAAAAGAACAGAACCTAGGGGTTCCAAGTCCCAGATCAGTGTGCTATTCGCTAGACCATGCTGCCTTCAGTGGGTACAACAATTTCTGAACAACACTGAAAATGATCAGTATCTTGTGTATTTCACTTTCCTGTTATTTAGGACCCTATTAACAGATTACCTCTCCTTGCCAGCAAAGTGGCATAGTGCGGCACAAACTTTTTAAGCAGCAGTAAAATGAAAGTGATGCAACACTCTCATAACTTGCATCCAAGAGTTTTTAAAATGCTGGTTGAGTAGCTCATTGGAGCATTAATGCTGATTTTCAGTAAGTCTTGGGGCACTTGGTAAGATCCAGGAGATTGGAAGAAAGCTAATGCCCCAATTTTTAAAAAAGGTAAATGGGATGACAGAGTAATTATAAGCCTGTTACCCTGACAGCAATCCCTAGCAAGATATGGAGGAGCTAATATGGACCTTGATTATTAAAAGAGAGTAACGTAATTAATGCAAATCAACACGGGTTTATGAAAAATAGATCTTGTCAAACTAACTTGATATTTTCTAGTTAGACATCAAGTTTGGTTGATAAAGGTAATAATGCTGATAGGTCTCAAAATATATTTCTACACGGGGTATCACTACTGAATAGGTGCATTTCCAGTGGGGTCCCATAGGGTTTGGTTTTTGGCCTTACACTATTTTACATATTTATCAATGATCTGGAAGACAACATAAAAACATCACTGACAAAATTTGCAAACGAGACAAAAATGCGGGGACTGGTAAATAATGAAAAGGACAGGTCACTGATTCAGAGCGATCTACATCATTTGGTAAACTGAGCACAAGCAAACAATATGCATTTTAACACAACTAAGTGGAAATGTATACATCAGGGATTGGCAACCTTTGGCAGGCAGCTCACCAGGGTAAGCTTCCAGCAGCCCCCATTGGCCTGGAGCCATGAACCGCGGCCAGCGGGAGCTGCGATCGGCTGCACCTGCGGATGCGGGCTGTGTTGGATAATCAGCTGAACATGAGCTCCCAAAGTGATGCCATGGCCAAAAGAGCTAAAGCGACCCTGGAATGCATAAACAGGGGATTCTCAAGTAGGAAGAGTGAGGTTATTTTACCTCTGGATTTGGCACTGGTGAGACCACAGCTGAAAGACTATGTCCAGTTCAGATGCCCACAAATCAAGAAGGATATTGATAAATTGGAGAGGGTTCAAAGAGCTAAGAGAATGGTGAAGAGATTAGAACATATGCCTTATAAGAGACTGAAGGACCACCCACCTAATTAGTGGACCCACGGAGGTGGACCCTGGACCATGGAGAAGACGCACATGTAAGATGAAGTAGTGGCCTTGCGTGGAATAGGGGGCTGGTGGGGGCGGACCACTGGGTGAGAAGAGGGGGTAGGGAGAATCTGGGACGTGCAGGGCTGTGGCGGCCAGATAAAAAGACAACTTTCCCCAGCTGCAGAGCTGTGGCTGTCGGGGAGAGATGGCCCTCCTTCCCAGCCTCAGCTCTGTGGCTGCTGTGGCAGGGGAGAGACCCCCCTCCTTCCCAGCCCCAGCTCAGGGGCTGCCACGGCAGGGTAGAGAGGGTACATCATCACATTAGAAAGATAAGACTACTGATATTAAAATGTGAATTGTGTGCTTTTATTTGTAGAACAAAAAAAGATTATTATTATTAAGGGGTTTTTTTATATAGCGCTTTTATCCAAAGCACTTTACAATAGTTAGCTAACAGTACAAACAACAATTGGAAAGATCATTAAGTGGTCCACCGAGAGCCTCAGCAATTTTCAAGTGGTCCGTGAAAAAAAAATTGAGAACCACTGCACTTGATCACAATAGTCCCTCTGGCCTTGGAATCTAACAAAATATGAATCACCAATGACTACATACTAACATGTATTTTCACTCCAATGTTCTCAGAGAAAGGGGGCGTAGGGGGGAGAGGGAGGAAACAGTTGTAAAACCTAAAAGATGACATGCTCGGTTTGGGGCTGGGATGAAGGAGAATACTTAAGAAGGGTACAATCCTAGAATTTAACTTTTAAAAAAACAGAATTTGATCATTTCATCACTCAATCATTGTCTCTGTTCAAAAGTCAGCAAGAGTCAGCAGACATCTCCTTAACACTAGTAAAGCCAACCACAGACTTCACACACTTCCTCCTTCCACCACTACACACACACACTCTCTCTCTCTCTCTCTCTCTCTGGATATTATTGCAAAGTCTTCTTGATTATCATCTCAGGGCTTGTCTTCACTATGGGGGTAAGTTGACCTAAGTTACGCTACTCCAGCTATGTGAATAACGACTAACTTAGGTCTACTTACTCTGATGATTTCACTGTGCTGCGTCGACAGGAGGCGCTCTCCAGTTAACTTCCCTTACTCTTCTTTGAGAGCTGGAGTACTGGAGAGCGCTCTGCCGTCAAGTTAGTGTGTCTTCACTAGACGCCCTAAATTGATCCCTGCTGCATCGATGGCAGCAGTGTCAATCTCCCTGTAGTGAAGACCAGCCTTCAGTATAAAATAGGGTAAAAGCCAGCGGCTTCTTGCATTTCAAGAAGTTACCACCATTGTATTATCTGTACAGTTAGTTCTAAACAAAAGAGAGTATCATAGCATAAAAAAAGATGAAGATGAGAAATCAGATTACCAAATCTTGGATTAAGAGACTAGAGGATGCTATTTTACAGGAAAGGGTTTTCCATTCGTGTGCCACAGGAAATCTCGGTCTGGTTGAAAAACAGCTACCTGGTGTAACTGCAAATTTCACTGATATCAAATTGAAAATTTATCAAATTGATAAACCTACTTGCTAATTACTAGTGAAGATGAGAGGC